TGGTTGCCAGTGCCTCGACATAGTATTGAAGTCTCCTCCGGCGATTGTAGGGCCTGAAGATGTCCACTGAAGTAGAGGCTCTAAGGTTCCGCTGGGTCCAGGTGCGCGATAGACGTTGACAAACGTTAACCCTGATACTTGAACGAAACAATAGTGTTATGGCTGGACTTGCTAGGGCACTTGGAGGTAGACTGGTGGAAGAATCCGGGATCACATGATAATGTATAACGGGGATGCAGGCCGGACTAAGGTGGAGCCGCGGTCGAGCTTACCTCAAGCTCGTAGCTCCCAGCACTTCCTTTCTCTTTGTCTTTTCTCCTACCTACGTAGCGTAGCCTAATGTCCAAATACAACTTCTTCTTAGAGACCCGTATCATTCTCAGGTCGGTTGTAACAAATAGTCAGAAGATTGGTGTGGTGACGAAGGGTAGATCTGAGTGGCGTGAAGCCCTTTTCGAGTGAAGGTGATTGCCCTAGGTCGAGTTCCTATCTTTCCAATCGGTTTGTGGATGTTATATCCTGGATGACTTTTTGTTATGTACTCCTCCCCTTTTTCCATGATCCATGGTTCTTGTACCATGACCAAATGTGCCTCTCCATCCCAGGCTTGCTGTAGTGCGATATCTGTGCTAGGTCCGCCCTTTCCCACTTTCACTTGGTGAAATAGAAGGGTGTTATTTATTTGTTGGTGGTGATGTGAGTTGGGTTTACTACTCATTGACGTAAATTATTGCGTCTGCTATATCAATAACCTCTGAGGCCTTGCCTTTTTCTTCCAATCTTAATAGCGCTGCTTTCAAATCTCGGTGTCCTCGTTCCCGAATCACCCGAAGCTCCGCTGGAGTGCGCGGCACCACTACTCCGTCTTGTCTTCTAGGTCGAGCCATATAATTGAAGTCGGTCAATTCATGAGGCCCTGCACAATTTGAGCATTTGGGAATCTTGTTCGGACAATCTCTTGTCTCATGTCCTCCGGTGCATCTTCCACACAGACTTCCTTTGACACAGTTTCTCGTGGAGTGGAAGCCCCGGCAGCGTTGAAATTGCTCGATCGGGCGACGTCGTGTGAATGGTAAAGCCGGTCCACTCTCTTCGAACAGCCGAAATTTGAAGTTCGTTGGTACCTGCTTGAAGTTGACGATCCAACTAGTAGAGTATTGCCCCAATTTGGCGTTATTTTGTCGCACCTGAATTGGTGTCACCCCGCAAACAGACTGGCATTCCGTTTTAACCATGTAGTTTGTGACTTCAATCCTACCCTCTAATGTTCGAATATAAAGTGGTACATGCAGAACTATGAGAAGTCCAGTCTGACGCAGGCTCGATTGTGATTTCATCCATTTGAAGTGAAGGCCTAACCCTTAAAAGTGTCTCTCTGAGTGCTTCAGACGCACATTCAATAGCGAGACCCGATCTAACTTGCGTCATCGCTAGGACTGCTGAAGGTGCAGCCCCGGCTTTCTCGGTGACTATCTTTTTTATTGTTATTGGTGATAGTCTCCGCCACTCATGTTCTTGTCCCATTCGAAGAAAAAGCCGCTTGTCTTCTTTTGGGGGACTTTGTGTGTGAGGCTTTGCTTGTTTCGTAGGCCTTCTTAGGTTTGACCGAGTAGGCGGGTCGGGTAAGTTTGCCGCTCTTCGTGCAAATATGACCCACGGCGACTCGGTTTCCCATGTCTTTTGTGGGGGTTCGTGAAATGGTTTGTCAGCTGTTATTCCTGCCCTAAGTACAAAGGTTGTTATCTGGATGGGTTCGGGGGCTAGTTTCTTGCCTGTAGGTTTTACGGCATCGGCGTTACATATCGCAAACGCAGTCACAATAGGTGAAATTTTTTCAATGAAAGACGCGACTCAGCCCGCACCTTCGGTTCCTGCCTTGGATTTCGCCCAGGCGTCGATATTTTGAAGGAATTCTTGAGCTAGGCTCATTCTCTACTTTCGGTCGCGATCTGATTGCTCCATTGCGGCAGCAATCCCAAGAAGGCTCGGGTGGAAGTGGTCGCCTGGTTCAGTCGACGCCGAGGATGACGGCTAGTTGTGCGCAGCCATTCTGCTGCTTGATTTTTCGAGTTAAGGTAATTAGATACGTGAACTTTTTTTTTTTTGCATCAGATTTTAATTGCGTATGCAGCTATCTAGCTATGACACAATATCAAAGAAAAGTACAGAATAGATGATTCAACCTAAAGAAAGAGCACTCATGCCTCAGATTTCATTTGCAAGTACCACTGCTAAGTTATGGTGGCTTTTTCTTCACCCAAAGCCAACCCTCATCCGTGAATACCCACCCAGGGGAACGTCTCAAAAAACCCTGAGTTATCCAGACATGCCTCCGTCAACCATCAACTTTTCTCCGCGCGATATGTGATCTGAGGTATCTCTTTCCCAAGTGGAGTAGATGCCCAGGCTACTCAAACCATACCAGAGAACACCACCAGGAGGCGGACCACGACACCTTCCATCGTTGGCTTGTGTTTATAGTGTCAGCTGCACTCTCGCAAGCGAAGTCTTGGCGCGCACAAAGCTCAATTCGTAAAACTCTTGCCAAAATTCGGAATCTCATGCCTTTCGAGGTTATATCCTTCCTTCGCATCGTCTAATCAACTTTTCCTGATCCCTCTCATGTCCATCCCAAAGAACTGTCTCCCAGATTTGTGTGCCACGCTTTGCTTCTTCCGTCAGGTATAAATATCAGCGTGTGCGTGTATTTGGCGACCGGCTGAGGCCAGAGAAGGTCGAAGAGTGGTGTGGTCATTGAGATGAGGATGTACTTGGTCGTACTTGTAGGCTTGATGAGACTTAGGTGGGAGTCTACCTAGTTGGGAGCGAAAATACGATGTGGTGGAGTAATTTGAGTCATTGCCTCGTGAGCCAACTTCTTTGATATTGCGAAATTTGACTGAACTTCGCTCTGGGAGAAAATTTCACTCCCAGGTTCGTAAAGGACACCGCGTACAGTTGTTCAGTCTTACCCTCCGTGGCATTGGTTGCGTGTGCATCAATAAATAGATTATTCGGTATCCTGATTTGGCACCTTGAGGCCCATGCAGGTTTTTATCAAAAGATATGTACTTTAAGTAGCATGACTCAATTTGACCATTAGGACACTCACTCTCAGATTTCATTTGCAGATACCACTCGAGGTTAACCCTTACGGTGTATAACCTCTTCCGTGCATACCCACCACAGGTAAAAGCGTGAAAACTCTGTGGCAATCTGAGTGTGCTTTCATCATCCCATAAGTACAGTATCACCGCGGAAGAAAGTGTGGTGTGTGGGTCTTAGTGGATTCGAACCAGCTTTCTCCTATCTCAAATGGGGTTGGTGTTCAGGCTATCTGGTATCTACTTGGGAGAACGGTCTGGATGGTGTACCACTGCACCATCCGGCACGCCAAGATAAACTTTCTTCCTGACCTTTCTGGATGTTCAAACTAATGATTTTTTCCTATTAGTTATCAATTATGTGGTCAAAAATTTGAATCGATATCAGGAATACATGACAGAAGGTTCACTGATGCACAAACTTGTAAAATAGTTGGGCACGCAATTAAAGTCTGCTAAGTCACTTACCCCGTGTATCAATCATCATAGAAAACTCATAAACTTTCATGGTAGTTTTCTTTACTCCGTACTCAACAAAAAGTAGGATGAAGCACACTATTTGCGGTTTAATAAAGATAATGTAGCCATGCGGCTGAATTAACTCAATCTTTCATGTAGCGGTCAACGGATCTCCGAGACGCAGGTGAAAGCTACAAACAAATTTAGGAGTCTCGCAACCACTAATCATCACAAATAAACCGTGTACTTAAAACGCTGACACTGAAATCTGGTCAAATTCTCCCAATCAGATATCTCAAATCGATTGCGACGGAGTTTATATAGTAGATTTGACGCATTGTCAGCGAATAAAATATAAATCGAAAAGGTGATTGTCACAGACAACTTCTCCATGCTACATTTATCAACAATAGAACTCCATGAGACATAGCGATTGGCATTTTTTACCTGGCATGGAATAACTAGACAATAGAGTCGAAACTAAGGTCTATGAGCCAGCTGGTGCATTCTCGCCGCGAAATTTAGTTCAATTGACAAGCTGCTCTACCCGCCATTGGAGTTTGACATATCTAATAGCAAGGATCATTCTAGCGGCCGGTCAATCCATGTTGCGCATCACATACGGATCCACAATAGTTGTTATCTTGATCTGCATTATCAATTTCAAGTTGGGTTTATTTTGAGAATCCAGCAATAGATTTCCCTGTATCACAATGTGTTAAGCCAACTCCTGGAGCTAGGTAAGATAATTCTATATAAATCTACCCAACAGCCATCTCCCTACATGAACCATTCACAATCGCATTCTCGTCACGGTACATCGCACACAACAATCCTATCTGACCCGTTTCGTCTATCATAAGCAACATATTTCGCAAAATGTTATCAATCGCAGATGATGTGCAACACTTTATTGAGAATCCTCTGGATGAAATCATGACAACTTTCCATACACTTTGCGCCTTGTACAATTTCAACATCATGGAACCCAGTCTTTTCAATAATACTGACCTTCAAGTAATTCTTCTTCCTTTGAACTCGCTCTTAAGTTCGCTCACTCTGTATGCTCAAGATCAACCCGTTCCGTTGTCTACAAACAAAAAAATCGACTCCAGAATAAAATCATTTAAAAGATGGATCAACTCGAAATCAATTGACCTCAAACATCTGAAACCGCTTGTCCGCTCCATTTTTTCCAAAGCCGCCGACACTGAGGTCTGGTTCCAGTTAATCAGCGTTCTTGATATATTTGAACCTCACTCAACTTCCGACACATTCACCTCATCCCTGAACTACCCCGATGTTTGTCATCGCCAGACCGCTGCCCCATACAAAGGCAAAGATCAGAAAGTTGAAATCTTGAAAGAAGCACTTTGAACCGAGTTGAACGGAACCATTTTCGAGGATGTCGGCGGCTTCTACGAGAAGTATTTCGAGATGACACCGTGGGACAATCAGTGCCAGACGATTGCAGACAGCTTTGTGAACAGAAAATTCAAAGCGCGGTTCAGGTTCCCAAAAAAGCCCACAGAATCCAACGTGTGGAGATGGGTTCACAGGATTCAGACCGAGTTTATCGAATCCTACAAAGCTCCGACGGTGACACCAAGCGACAAATCTGCGTCTTCCAAAAAGGAAAAAACCTTCCCACTACGCTCAAACAAGTTCCGAACCACGTCAGCATGGCAATTTGAGGGAAGCGAGTCTCCCAGACAGGTCGACTTTTTCTTCAAGAGCCGCAAACACGCAGTCGGTACTCCTCACGACTGGCGCGATGTTCTTGTTCTGGGAGAGTTGACTTCTTCATCTGTCGGGGTGTGGAAGAGCAAATTCCTCCAACTATCGGTTTATATGAGGGAGGTTTTCATGGCGCAGCCCTTACGTCGGTTTGTTCACGGATTCCTTTTGTTTGGAACGAAGTTGCAGCTGTGGGTTTTTGATCGATCGGGACCCATGTCTACCGGCTTCATCGACATCGGCGAGAATCCGGAGAAGCTGATCTACGTGACCACTGCGTATATGTTGATGAGCGACAATGAGCTTGGTCTCGACTCAAACTTTGTCCAGGAGCACGACCGGACGCTGATCAAGGTCAAGGAGCCAGAAACTGACAACTGGTTGATGTTGACGCTCGAACCTTTCCCATTCATTGTTCAGCGGTCGATCGTCTCGCGTGGCAGGACAGTCTACCGCGGTCTGTACGAAAGTTTCGTGGTGAAGATCTCGTGGCGGGCGGTAGGACGGATGTCAGAGGTCGAACTTCTGGGGAAAAGTCGCAGTATTCTTGGAGAAGCAACGTTGATTGGATCACTCGACATGGAAAAGATCAGTGAGCTACGTGACGGCCTTACGTTTACGAAGGCAATGCAAAGAGAGATCCAGCCCGACGAAGAACCGATGACCACGCTCCACGACTTACTGCAACCAGAGACTTCCAATCAGGAAGGAATTGTTCAGCCGAGTGGAGGTGTCAAGCGCAAAAGTGCGTCGAATGCTGGTGATTCACAACAGAGCAAAAGGTCATGCGTGTCGAATATTTCAAGGCAAGCCCGGACCAATGCAGCAGTAGCAAGTATGCAAAAGGGAGGAACCTCGGCCAGCAAGCGAGGTAAGTCTGTGTTTATTGTTTTTAATTTTAGATTCAAGACTGAATACTAATGCTAGGCATCATGTTTTAGCTCCTGGTAAGCTTACTGCATTGAAAAACTCTACTCCGACAATCAATCAAAGCTTGAATCAAGGATCGACTTCCTCTGGATCGAAAAGAAGCAGAAATGACGGCGAGATGAATGTCGACGCCCCGAACATACCGGAACGTGAACTCAGAAAACTCCGCATAACGAGTAGTACCGGGGGACCCTTTCCAGAAGCCAGTGCCGGCCCTTTACCAGCGTTGGTTGCCATAGATGCCACCGCTCCAGACGTCCCAGATGTGGTAGTTGTCGATGTGAATGCTTCACCCAAGATCTCCAACATGTCTACAACCGAATCTTCATTGTTCTACCGAGATCGGTTGCAATCGATAATCGCATCGAAGCCTTCTGGTCGAGCAATTGGAGAGGATACATCGCCGTTGGACTTGCTTTGTGGACTACGCAATGCAATCAAAGGCCACCGATCACTGTTTTTGGATGCCCGGATATTGCACTGTGATATCTCGGTGAACAACATCATACTGACGGATCCGAAGTCGAATGATGGTTGCTGTGGGGTGCTGATAGACTTGGATCAAGCAATGTCGTTGGATGACCCGAATGCTGCGGCCAGCTCACATATCCTGACTGGGACGATGGAGTTCATGGCACTCGGTATCTTGAGGGCGAATTTGACACGAACAAATGCAGGCATCAAGCACTCGTATCGGCATGATCTAGAATCATTTTTCTATGTACTTGTGTCTACGAGCATGCGCTTTGGCTGGGGCGATAAAAAGGCTACTCACCTCGGACTTCTTGGGACGTGGTACAAGGGTACGGTCTATTCTATGTACAACGCCAAATTTACAGCGATACATGTAGATTCATTTGAAAGCAACGTATTGAGCGGATTCTCGGCCAAATTCGAATGCTTGAAAGATGTAGCCAAGAAAATGCGGGCATCGCTGTTCGACAGAGGTTGTGGGTTCTGGTTGGGTGAAGATCATCATCCGGAAACACTTTATAATCCCATACTTCTTGATCTCGACTCGGAAATTGCTAAGATTAGTTGTGAGTCTTTAAATAGCTCATGAGACTATTTCGTTGTACTTGAGTGAAATATTGTTAACACGAGTGTACTGAGGTTTGACTGTTGTTGGAGCTCAGGCAGATACCTAATCCTAATATTGAAAATTCTTGCAATAAGGATACATGGTGTGGAGATGAAGCTGAATGAAACGGCGCTACTATTCAACAGGCTGAAGCATTATTAAAAATCAGTGACACCTGGTGATAAGTGTCTGTTTAGGAAGTATGGTACCTAAGGATAAGTCACTAATCTGTAGATTCACGAGGAGGATCAACTCTCATAGATACCTGTCACTAGTAGCTAGAGCTCTCCTTTCTCCTCATAAAGTTTATCAAATTGATTTAGCAATCACCAACTCGGGTTCTGTCACAGAGCGTAGGTCAAGCCACGCCTTATAAGTTTGTTTGTTTTCTATTTTTCGTCCGTCGGGGCGCCAAGCTTGACTTAGGTCCCCGCTACCCACTAAACTAACTAGAGGCATTTCCTTGTTTGTTGTAAAACTTAGAGGGGCTTCGTGTAAATGTCACGTGAATCGTCAAGAATGTAAGAGTAAAGGTATATAATTATCTACTACTACGAGTCGAGCCTAGGACTATATTGTGTGAGTATCCCCTTGTGCGCTCCCTTGAGTATTGTCAGTAGCCAAACATCTGTGCGCGTAGATCTTACTTTCGCTTTTGGACTGGCGCGAAAACCCAGACTAACATAGGTCTGCTTACACGCCCTCTCAGTCCTTAAGCGAAAGTCCATCCATCAACCCTAGTTGTCCAGTGAAGCGCCGGAATAAATCGGCGCTAAGGGGTTTTGTCAATCCGTCTGCAGGGTTGTCTCTGGATTTGATCTGTTGTATAGCAATGTTGAGATCACGAATTTCTTGTACAATGTAATGGTAATTGACGCGTATGTGGCGTCGGCCCGATGTCATGCCATCGCTTGTAGCCCACTTGATAGCTCCCGTGTTATCCTCTAAAATTGGTATAGGGCCATCAGGCATCACACCCAGTTCGCTCAAGAAGCTTCGAATCCAGGCGCAATCCTTTGCAGCTTTGCACATGGCCACATACTCGGCCTCACAGGTCAGTGTGGAAACTGTACTCTGCAATTTTGATCTCCAAATTACGGGACCTCCAGCCATGAATATTACGTATCCAGTCGTGGATTTTGCTGTATTGTGGTCATCCGCAAAACTAGAATCCACCGCACAAAACAATCCGTGTTCTCCAAACTCATTTAAGTGCCGGTGATTTTTCTCATATAATAAACCCCTGTCTGCGCAACCAGATAGGTAGTGAGGAATGCTCAACATGTGGTGCATATGTTTAGGCGATGGGTTGCACATGAATCGTGCCATCTGAGATGTGGCCTGAGATGTGTCGCATCGAACCATACAGGAGGAGAAGTTGTACTTGCCAACTAGCCTTTGGAACTCGTTCAGGTCTTTTGCAGTTGCCTTACTTGTGTTTCTTCTCATCTCTGCCCTGCTACCTGGTGACATTGGGGTTTCGATACCTTTTCTAGAAATCCCGAATTCTTGGAAGGATCTCTCGAGGTATTGTTCCTGGTCTAATCTTACGCATCCAGTTGGCGATGATCTATGGATTCTGACGCCTAAGAACCAGTGTGCCTCACCTAAGTCGTTTAATGGGACTTCGCTGTTCAGAGATTGTGATAGTGACTTGAGGTCGCCCATATTTGGACCGAAAAATAGGAAATCGTCGACATAAGAGGCCACAATAATCCCCTTTGTCTTGCCTATATAAATGGCGTTATCAGAAATCAAAGGTTTGTAGCCTCTATCCATCATGATGCGCCTGACTTTATCTTGCCAACAAGCCCCTGACTGCTTCAGACCATACAAAGGTCTTTTGAGCTCGATGACACTGGTGCATGAATAGCCAAACCTCCTTGCGGCTTCTGGGTGTTCCTCGAAATACTCTTTCAGACGTGGGAACTGTTCCATGAAAACAGTTTCCTTCAAGTCACCTGCAAGATATGCAGCTATGAAATCAGCTTGGAGGATGTACCAGCTCTTCAGCGAGGCTAATGCCATTAGGCATCTCCAACTAGCTGACCTAGCTGTTGTTGAAGTGGTGTCGTTGAAGTCTACTCCTTTTGTCTGCGTGAAACCTTTAGCCACCACTCTAGCCTTGAACTTGTCAAGTTCCATGTTTGACTTATATTTCTTTTTCAATACCCATTTGGATGCAACCAGACGCCCTCTATCTTTCACAGCTGTTCGTGATACGAACTTAAAGGTTCCACGAGACAAACAACCTTCAATCTCTTGATTGATGGCTTCTATCCACTCGCGTCTCTCGGGGCCTTTAATAGCTTCGGAAAACGTGGGTTCATCGAGTGATGATTCGACTAGGTATGAGGACGCGCCAGAGTGGTTAACCATTATGCGGAAGATTTCATCACCATCGCTGTGCAGGCCAAATTCCTGTCCATCGATGGCTTTCCGAGTCATGTGAAATAGGTCCATCTTGTTGGATGTGGAGGCCAAGTTCATTTTCCCAAAGTTTCGTCCTGTTACTGCGTCGCATATGTCTTCAGGGAATTTTGCAGGATTCTCACTATTTTTAAGTTCAAGCAGCACTATTGCCATCTCATTGTCCGTATCAAGCGGAGCATCAAGAGTTAACATCTGCTGATTGTCGTAGGGCCGCTCGATGGTGCGCTTAGGACGACCACGCCCTCTTGGCAATATTGGCTGCTGATTGTCATCCTGGGGAGTGTTGTAATCCTCATTTCTTGCATAGTCTTTCTTTCTAGATTTAAGCCTATCCTGAACATGCTTAGGGAGCGATCGAACAATTTCTCTTGGGTCTGCTGCCCAGCCAAAGCCTGGGCCGATATTTTCGTACGCCGTTACTTGAGGCGACACAATAAATCTTCCACCGTCAAGTAACCAAACAAGTTTGTTCTTTCTTCCTCTGTAGCCGAGGAAGACACTTTTTGTGCTGTTGGCATCAAGTTTTTCGCTCGCAACACGGTGATTTTCGTCGACGTGGGTGATGCATAAGGTTCCTGGTATCCACAAGTGATCCACTTTGGTTTTTGCGCAATCAGGTTCAATCTGTGACCAATATACTTCCCATGGCGTCTTCTTGTCTTCTACTGAACTTTGAGATGTACAGTTTAAGGTGTAGCACATCATTTCCAACATATGGTTCCAGAAAATCGATGGAACTTTCATTTGAATGCTGCAACATCGTGCTGCGTCCTGCACGAAGCGGATTCCTCTCTCTAATACACCATTCTGATACTGGTTATTTGGTGCGGAGATGATCACATCAATTTCTTCTTTTGCAGCAAAGTCTTGGAGAGTGTTTAGACCCCAATCACGACCCCCATCAATTGTTAGGCGTTTCACCCGAAGTCCATGGCGCTGTCTCAGTTCGGAGTTTGTTTTCGACAGAATTGACTTTAGCTTGTCAGCGGCGTCGCTCTTTTTTTTCAAGGCCCGGAATATTCTGTACCTCGAAACGTCATCTGTCGTGAGGCAGAAGTATCCGTAGCCCTCCATTGTGACCGGATTTAAGGTTCCTACATCGCAATGCCAACCTTCACCGACGTTTCTCATTCTAGGTCGTCTATTGCATGTTTTATATTTTATTGATTTGCCCATGTCGCACGCTTTGCATGGCAAATTTTCAACTTGTGATGGCAGTAGGTCGATACCAACTGTATTTTTAATCGTCCATTTGAGTCGTTCAGCGCTGGGGTGGCATAAGCGCCTATGCCATAGGGTCAGGCGTTTCATCACGTCATTGGTCATGTTGAAAACACCACCCTTCCAACAATCTTGATAGGCCTCTGTAAATTCCTTTACCTCAGGGTCTCGTTCGGAGGTTTCTTTTTCACTTTGATGAATACTATCCACCGAGGTGAGGTTCACTGCCTTTTTGTAGCCTGTCAACTTTAACGGTTCTGGATGGTTAAACAACCACAAGAAAAATCCTCGACGTTCCGCGTTTATATAAGACAGGACTTCGCCATTAGGGCTCACTATCTTATTTTTATCCAGGTAACCACCACTTCGGTAGAATCGTTCTCCACTGATGATATTTAGAGGGAATACCTTCAAGTATACCACGTACTTCAACCTCATTGAAGTTTGGTTGCCGCCAGGCCCGGTGAGTGAAAGCCAAATTTCTCCGATGCATTCCGCGCATACAATTCCACCTCCAGTCTGAATTGGGAATTGTTTAGGCTTTTGCTCTACAACTGTGCCTGGCTTGAAGTTTCTCCGACAGTTAGTGGCATCTACATCGGCACCCGTATCAAATAGCCAGCGGCTTGCAACTCCACTTCCTCCAGATGCGCTTAGAATTTGCTGTGTGAAGTTGATGGAAGCTCCTGGGGATTGCGACTCGAGCAACTTTTTATCATCTACTGGCTCGCCACGACGACGCGCCATTTCATTCTCGTAGAAATTGACCATGTTTTCGTAAACCTGTGGGTCTACTTGAGCAGCGTAGCTGTTCCCAGAGAATTCTTCGGAAATTTGGCAATATTCGTTAGCTATTGCAGCCGGTGGGCCTATGTCGATCGACAATGTTTTGTGTGCGGCATGAGAGTTTTGTGCCTCCTTTTCTTTTTTCTCAGGACAGTTCTTGGCAATGTGTCCTTCTTTCTTGCAGTTATAGCAACGGATGGCAAACTTTTTCTTAGGGTTGTTGCCTTTTCCCTTTATTCTCGACTTTCCTTGGTCACTTGTATTCTGTTCACCTTGGGCGTTGTTCAAGTATTTCTTCACCGGCTGAGATTTCCTGAGCCTCTCTTCTTTGCCCGATTCTCCGATCCTGTCGTAGTGGTGAGATATAAAATCTTGAATAAGATTTTCTGCTGACCAGCTTTGAAAACGAGCGATGGTGGAGACCATTGAATTCCACCTCCCAGCTTTATCCTTCGTCGATTGCTTGAAGATAATGGAGATTTGTCTCTCTGCTAGAGTCCCACCAGTGGAAATGTAGTCCCTAACACGTGTCTTTAACTTTG